CCATCACCCAACTTCAGCTATTTCTTATCATTGTCTTGTTTTGTCTGTATCTCCTTTCACTTCCTTTCATGCCCAGGGAAGTTATTTTTAAGAAGACTGCAGACATCGTATCATTTCAGCCATCATTTCAGCCACGAAGAGTTCCATTTGAGTCTCTAAAAGATAAAAGGATTTTGTTGCTCAGCATAACAACCATACTATTTTGCACCCTAAAAAATGGACATTAATTGCTTAATGTTAGAGGATAGGCTCTTGCATGTGAGATTTTAAATTAGGCCCAGAGGTAAAAATGCCATTAGAAAGTTCAGCTAACATACGACAGTTCTTCAGTTTTCATAAGTAACCAATCCTCACAAAGTGTTCCACTACTTAAAAAGAGAGTTGCTGGGGCGCCTGGGTGGGTCAGTCAGTTAAGCATCCGACTTTGGCTCAGGTCATGATCTCACGGTTCGTGGGTTCGAGCCCCACGTTGGGCTCTGTGCTGACAGCTCAGAGCCTGGAGCCTGCTTCAGATTCTGTGTCTCCCTCTCTCTCTGACCCTCCCCTGCTCCCTCTCTCTCTCTGTCTCAGAAATAAATAAAATATTAAAAAAAGAGAGAGAGAGAGTTGCTCCCTGAGAACACCCTTCAGTCCTGGGAGTGTCAGATGTGTTCTTACAGCTACAGCTACAGCTACAGCTACAGCTACAGCTACAGCTACAGCTTTCTCTCTTTCACTTGACCGGGTCTTGTGGAGGAGTTTTGGTCATGGCAAACCCTTATTCCCCCCTTCAAAACTTTCTTTGTCATCTCGTCACAATGGATATCCATTTCCACCCTCTCCCCAGTGTGTAAAGTGAAAGATTAACTTGGGACTTTTGCCCTCAAATTTCTAGTTTAGGGAGAATTGGGGGGGAAATCTTACTCTTATCTAAGATTGCACATTTGTGCAATCTTTCAGAGAAACTTGGGAAAATGAGGAGACCTGTCAGCGCATTTTCACCTCTCCAGGGGCATAAGTCGTGTGTCCCCATCCTGTGCCTGGCTGACTATGCTTGCCCTCAAGGTACAGTACTGGGGGGTTCACAGCAGATGAGCAGAGTTGCTGAGGGAGAAATGGAGCAGAGGATTTGGAGGCTGACAGATACCATAGAGATAATGATGCATGAACAGATGTTCAGTAAGAAAGAAAGACTATGCTGTTTGAAATGTAGGAAAATTTCAGGTTGAACAGTCTTCTTAACTGAGACTCCTTAGAGGCTTAACTGTAAAGCCCATGCAATGTGAGTCTCTGAGAGAGATGGTAGACTTCTTTGACCACATGGGCCTCTTATTGCAGAAATGGCTGCCTTGGAACAGTCTCTGGACAATGCTGATCGACGTAAGCAGCGCACTCACAGAAGTTAAACAATTGGTCCAGGGTCTGGAGAATAGGTAGTAGCATAGGAGAATGCCAGAGCCCCAACAGAGTCTAGTTTATCTCGTTTATTTATTTATTTTTAATTTTCTTTTTTTACATTTATTTATTTTTTGAGAGAGTGAGACAGAGTGTGAGGGGAGGCAGAGCAGAGAGAGAAGGAGATATAGAATCCGAAGCAGGCTCCAGGCTCTGAGCAAATGTTTAGCACAGAGCCTGATGCGGGGCTCGAACCCATGAACTGTGAGATCATGACCTGAGTCGAAGTTGGATGCTTAACTGACCGAGCCACTCAGGCACCCCTAGTTTATCTAGTTTAAAGGAAAATCTCCCCTTGGGTAGTGTCACTCACTGAGGTTCCATGGGAAGACCACTGTCCCTTCAGTCAGAAACCCTAAGTCTGGGGGCGCCTGGGTGGCTCAGTCGGTTAAGAGTCTGACTCGATCTCAGCTCAGGTCATGACCTCAGGGTCGTGAGTTCAAGCCCCGTGTTGGGCTCTGTACTGGGTGTGGAGCTTGTTTAAATTAAAAAAAAAAAAAAAGAGAGAAGCGCCTGGGTGGCTCAGTCGGTTAAGAGTCTGACTCGATCTCAGCTCAGGTCATGACCTCAGGGTCGTGAGTTCAAGCCCCGTGTTGGGCTCTGTACTGGGTGTGGAGCTTGTTTAAATTAAAAAAAAAAAAAAAGAGAGAAGCGCCTGGGTGGCTCAGTCGGTTAAGCATCTGACTTCAGCTCAGGTCACGATCTCATAGTTTGTGGGTTCGAGCCCCATGTTGGGCTCTGTGCTGAGAGCTCAGAGCCTGGAGCCTGCTTTGAATTCTGTGTCTCCCTCTCTCTTTGCCCCTCCCTTGATTGCACTCTGTCTCTCTCTTTCTCTCTCTCTCAAAAATAAGTAAACATTAAAAAAATGAAAGAAAGAAACCTGAAGTCTGGTCCTAGGTCAATGCACATTTTCAGACATTCCCTATACTGTCTGGCAAGGGGGGATAGTAAAAACTGTGTGGCCCTTTTACCAACTGATATAAGGAGCAACTAAAATGGATGTGAAAGTAGTTTATAAACCTTGAGTTCTACAAGGATGATGATTTATTGTGTCTCTCAGTGCTTAGCGCCACCTTTTCCTCAGTATTGAGAACACCTTGGCCAGAATGTCCATCTTGAATAAAGAGAAAGACTTTGGAGCGATGGATATAAGTACATATAAGTACAAAGATATGAGTGCCTGCTGATTTTTTTCAGGAAGGGCCCGTGGCTGGCCCTGACTTTCCTTCTTGCCATGATGGGGGATGGGGGATACTTTCTCAAAGGCACTTCCAGCTTTTCTCTTTCTAAGCTTTAGGCCTGTATCGGAGCATCTCTCTGCCTGCTTCTTCTGCTTTGCTCTAGCGCTTCATGGTTTGCACCCTTGGGTCAAGTTGGTTTTGGAGTAGGGTTACTTACTGCTGTCACCCATGATGCCTTATTCTCTGTGGCCTGGGAGTACCGTGTTCAGGTGTGTCCTGTGGTCGGTCATTATATGACAAACGTGCCAGAGGATTTATTCTGCTGTGATAGCCTCTCCAGTTTCACCACCCTTAGTCATCATTTTACTTGGGGCATGGATATGTGCGTTCCAGAAGCTTTTCCACCTCCTGCAACTTATGGGAGGGATAAATTGTCTCCATGTTTTCTTCTGGTGCTTTTGACCATGAACTCTTAGACCTGGAGTAGATTGGTTATCGAATAGCCTAAGGAGAAAGGAGGTGATATGTAATTTACATAAGATCCAGGAAATGAAGGAAGACATGGTGCCAGGAGCTGTGTTTCCAGCTAGACTTTATTTATTTATTTATTTATTTTTTAAATATTTTTATTTATTTCTAGGAGAGAGAGAGAGACAGCGTGAGCAGGGGAGGGTCAGAGAGAGAGGGAGTCACAGACTGAAACAGTCTCCAGGCTCTGAGCTGGCAGTCAGCACAGAGCCCGACACGGGGCTCGAACCCACGAACCGCAATATCATGACCTAAGCGAAAGTCGGACGCTTAACCGACTAAGCCATCCAGGCACCCCTCCAGCTAGACTTTATTAAGTTTCACAATCCTAAAGGATTCTAAAGGCAAAACAAGGGCATCTTTTAGGTTTTGCTTAATGGAGTTAATCTGGTGAACCGGTGACAGAACCAGGAGCCACTCCAGCCCAGTCCCCCTAATCAAAACACTAATGGGCTTAGATCACGCCCTGGTTCTATCTTGAATAAGGGAATTTTGCTTTTGAGATGGCTTAAATGCTTTGAATTCCTCGGCAGAGAAATGATAGATGTACAGATAATGAGACAAAGGGTTTCCCAATCCCTGTGTAGAACCTCATGAGTTTACGTGCTCTCCCCATCTCTTAGCTGTTTATCGGGTTTCATGACCAGGAAAATGTCACCTGCACTCACTACTGTCTGGGGATTCAGCTGTATTAGCTTTGCTTTTACAGTCTTCCCTTGAGTCATATGTCTCGTTATCTATGTACCAGTCTTTTTTTGAGGGCCTATGGTAGTGTAAGGCACTGCTTGGTATTTTGAGGGACACAGAAATGAAAGACCTCTTGCCTTTAAGTGGCTGCTACTTTAGAAGAGGAGTTAGGCCTGAGAATAAATCATTTTGTTGAGCTTATGAGCACGTAAAAGAGAGGGTGAATTTTCTACCACCAAGATGATCTCTGTCTGGACAGTGCGAATAATCACTCTTACCGCCTTGCACCCAGAAGGCCCGGAGCTGTTTCCAGGGACTCAGAGTTGAGGTGCCTTTTAATAAGAGGACTTTGCTGTTAGTCCTTACTTTGGACCTGCCACCTTTGGAGCCATGTTCCCACCTGACGTGGACCGTATGTATCTCTCTTTGTCTTGCTCAAAGTTGAAATAAAACGGAAAGATGAAATCGGAATTATTGGAGACCTTGAAGACTAATTTTCCTAATGGAGTTACATCTGACCTATGTTCCTCGTTTTGTTCTCCCTCCAGTCTTCAGTTTAGAGAGCGGTTTGGGAAGAGACACGAAACATATGGGGAGGGGGCAGGGGCGGGGAGACAGCAGCGAGCTGGAGCGTGCTGATTTTCATGTAATTCTTGGCTCCTTGCTGGTTCGGTTGGGGTTGAACTGTTTTCAGGGCAGGAAAAATGAATCTGGCATTTCGGTACAAAAACAAACAAGGCTGCTGTTGTACTCGATAAAGCTGGGGTTGCAGATCCAGTGGCCGTCCATTAGCTCAGCGACAGCGGTGAGTTTCAGAGACCCCTGCACTCTCCGGAGAAGGTAGTAAATGTCCATCTAGGAAGGCAGTAAATATTTGTGGAGTGATTGATTGTCAGCACAGTAGGATTTTCTTGTCGGGGGCAGGAAAGCCAGAAACCTTAGGACGCTGTTGTTAAACTGGCTTCAACTTCTACTTTTCTTTCTTTCTTTCTTTCTTTTTTTCTTTTCTTTTCTTTTCTTTTCTTTTCTTTTCTTTTCTTTTCTTTTCTTTTCTTTTCTTTCTTTTCTTTCTTTTCTTTCTTTTTTTTTTTCCCTCAGGCAAGATAGCTGGGTCAGAACTTAACTACCTAGAGGAATTTTCTNCTTTTTTTTTTCCCTCAGGCAAGATAGCTGGGTCAGAACTTAACTACCTAGAGGAATTTTCTTGAGATTCCATCATCCCTCTTCTACTTCTTTTATTTCTCTCTATTTAATAGACCTTTGAAATAGGTATCTTCCCTCTACCTCCCCCACCCCCCAGAGGCAATAAGAGCAACTCCAAGATGTAAACAAGCAAAAAGAAAGCCTAAGATACTACATAAACCAGAAGTTCCTGCCTGCCCTTGCTATTCATGGTGCTACATGGCAGCCATCAGAAAGACCAGATGTGCTGGCCAGAGGTACTCCGCGAAGATGCCATGTGTGTGGGGCTTCTGCCTTCTCCCTCCAGCCGCTCTCTGCCCCATCTTGTGCCTTCCTCAGATGCTCTGTGTGTCCTTGTTTCCATGCTCCGGGCTATACTTGGTCTCCCTACTGTGCTCCTCTTCCTACCACTACCGTACATGTTATTTTAGTAACTGATTCTCTCTCTCTCTTTTTTAAATGTTTATTTTTGAGATAAAAAGAGCATGAGCTGGGAAGTGGCGGGGAGAGAGGGAGACAGAGGATCTGAAGCAGGCTCTGTGCTAATAGCAGCAAGCCTGAGGTGGGGCTTGAACTCATGAACTGCGAGATCATGAGATCATGACTGGAGCCAGAATAGGGAGGACGTTCAACCAACTGCGCCACCCAGGCGCCCCAGTAGCCAACTCTTGATGCAGCTCTCTTTGGCCACTCTATCCCTGACCAGCCTCCCTTCTTCGAGCTCTTCGTGCACTTACTATCATTGTTCCAGCCCTACATTTATTATAGAGTGCCTGTGTTTGTTTCGGTACCTGCTGTCTTTTCTCCCTAACTGGGCAGTTAAATAAATAAATCCTCCAGGGCCAGACTAGTTCAGCCAAGAGTGCATGCTTCTCATCCCCTGTGCTACATCCAAGGTGGCTGGATGTAACTGTGACTTTCTGGGTCACAAATGAGGTGCGAGTGATGGTTGTTACAATATCCAAATACTGTCACCATGCATGTTCAAGCCATCTTAGAGTAACTCAGGCCTGGTTGAAGTGCTGGCTCCGTTGCCTACTAGCTATGTGTCCTTGAATGAGTTATGTAACTTCATGGAAGCTCCTGGTTTTCACCTGTAAGGAACGAGATAGCAACGTATATTAGAGCACTCCCTCTCTGAAATATATTGTGTGATGTTTAGCAAGTGATTACATACTGTAGTGAAGAGCTGTTTGCCCAGCCATCCTCCTTGGAAGACTCAGTAGTGAGAAAGCAGCCATAGGTTTTGTTTTGTTTTTAATTTTTTTTTTTTTAAGTAATCTCTACGCCCAGTGTGGGGCTCAACTTCAAGACCTAGAGATCAGGAGTCGCATGCTCTCCCGACTGAACCAGCCAGCTACCCCTACATCTAAAGACACCCTACAAGGCCCTACGAGCCTTGTAAAGACACCCTACGAGCCCTGTGACTTGTAGAACTCCTTGTCCTACTCAGAAACCAGGAAAGGTGTGTTTTCTTGTCTCAGCAGGCCTGCTACACGTCTGCCTTTGTCCAGCCCCGGGACACAGATAAGCCAACGTTTGTGGTGTCTGGCAGCTAAGCAGTCCTTAGCGTTTCTGCTTGGCAGAGTTCTGCAAATCTTTGCTTGGGTTTGGAATGCTTCCCATGGCATTCCCCAAAATAATTGCTTCAGGATCCTTTTACTGATGCCCAGCCTCACATCCATGACATGCCTTGGTTGGACTTTTCTTGTGGCACTCACATTGGTTTGAGCTTGGAGTTTGTATGTGCTTCTGGGGGTTTTGTTGTTTTTGTTGGTTTTGTGCTTCGTTTTGTTTTGTTTTGTTTTGTTGGTTTTGTTGTGGTGGTAGTTGGTTTTGAGTCCAAACTGGAAGGCATTTAAACGTGCCTGTGCCCAACCTGAGAAAGATAAGAATGATCTCTCATCTTAGATCTTCTTTGTCTGCCTAGCAGCCTCTGCCCCAAAGCTCCTGGAAGTAAAAACGGCCTTATGTCTGGAGATTATCTCCTATCCTAGAAACCTGGCAGTTGCTGTCTTGTTCTGACAAAACCCTTTCTTCACATTCCTTGATTGTGAAATTAGAAACCTCGCGCTCTCAGCCCTCGTCTCCTTCAGCCTCATCTGGCCATGACACTGTATGGGAACAGTTCCCTAGGTTACCTGAGATCCAAGGTATGGATGGTCTTCTGTCCCAGCTTGCTTCTTGCATGGGGCCCACTTGTTTGCTGGGAATGGATGAGAACTTTAGGGCTTTCCCAGTCATTCACCTCCTAGAACTCTGGCTCCAAAGTTGGCCAGAATGGGTGTCCTGGGGCCTAAGGGCCCATTGTCCGTGCTCCAGAATACCACTGCCCAAGCTGGTGTGGCAGTCTTCTAAAGCAAGGGTCTCGGCGGGTGGGGGCTTTTGGGTGGCTTGACTTTGGCAACCAACTTTGGCTCAGGTCATGATCTCGCGGTTTGTGAGTTTGAGCCCTGCATCAGGCTCTGTGCTGACAGCTCAGAGCCTGGAACCTGCTTTGGATTCTGTGACTCCTTCTGTCTCTGCCTCTTCCCTGCTCACACTCTCTTGCTTTCTCTCTCTCACTCTTTCTCTTTCAAAAAACAAATAAACATTTTAAGCAATTTAAAATAAAATAAAATAAAATAAAATGAAACAAGGTTCTGGGGCACTGACCAGGGATGTGCATGTCTTGCCCAATGTTCAGCTGACCCTCAGTTCTGGTGTTTGCCCCATTGGTAACTTTTGGTCAAATATCATGACTCCTTTATTACTGTCAAGGAAAGAGCCTTTGGAGCCAGAGACTTAATTCAAATTCCTTACTCTTCCTTGGCCAGCTGTGTGACCTGGGGCAAGGTGTCCATATGTCGCAGCTTCTGCAACTGAACAGCAGTAATACCTACATCATGAGTTTGTTGTGGTTGTTAAGTGAGATGTGGGCTAAATGGAGTTCTTAGTAGAGCCTGGCTCATTGTCAGTACTGAAAAAATAACTCTCTCCACCTCCATCCCAAAATTTAAATATTATAAATGTATATGCTGCCTAGAAAAACATTGCCAAAAGATTGCTTAATCAACTGCAGTGGAAGGATGAATTCTATTAGCCATGAATATATCCACTGTTGTAGTATGTCTTCTTAAATAATAAACTAATCAGAATCCAACGGGTTTCAGCTTTACTATCTTTGGGGGTTTTCTTTTCTTTTTTAATTTTTTAAAAGTGTTTATTTATTTATTTTTTTTTAATGTTTTATTTATTTCTAGGAGAGAGAGAGACAGCGTGAGCAGGGGAGGGTCAGAGAGAGGGGGAGTCACAGACTGAAACAGGCTCCAGGCTCTGAGCTGGCAGTCAGCACAGAGCCCGACGCGGGGCCCGAACCCACGAACCGCGAGATCATGACCTAAGCGAAAGTCGGACGCCTAACCGACTAAGCCACCCAGGCGCCCCATAAAAGTGTTTATTTTTGAGAGAGAGAGAAAGAGAGTGCGCGCGTGCGAGAGAGAGAGAGCGAATGGGGGAGGGGCAGAGAGTGAGGGAGAAACAGAATCTGAAGCAGGCTCCAGAGCCTGACGTGGGGCTTGAACTCACAAACCATGAGATCATGACACTTTACCAACTGAGCCACCCAGGCGCCCCACTTTGGGGGTTTTCTAAATTGAGGAGACTATATTGGTCAGTAGAAGGATGGTGGTGGCTCAGACATTGCTTGGAGCCATCAACAGTTGTTAAATTGCAACATTTTGACAACATAATCCTGCTTAATTCTGGTTAGTGTGACTTTTTTTTTTTTTTTTTTTGATGAATTCAGCATTGAATTAGATTCTACATTCTTAGGCAGATGACTAAAATTATAGAAGGATTTGATTTACCTTTAGTCTGTAATGTATGAGTCTGGGTCACTTACATAAAAGAACCCTTCTTTTTCCAGACTAGTAGAAACTGATGAAAATCATCTGGTCTCTGAAATCCCAAAGCTGACGACTTTGTCACTGAGTTGTGGTAACTTGGCAGAAAGTGAACTTGCCTTCCTGGGGAGGCCCACATTTGGCAGTTCAGTCTCTTTGCTCCTCAGCTCCCCCAAATCTCAGTGCTCAATGAGGGTTAGTCAGCAAAGGGCAGGAGGCAGGGAGAAGAAGATTAGTGAGAAAGAAGCCATGATCAGCAATCAGTTGGTTGGAGTATGTGATCCTGTGCTAGGTGTAATAAGTTGAGTTTAATACTGCCTTGTACACAGGGTGTTTTTAATCTTATAAGAAGATAAAAGTAGACAGGTCCTGATGAGAAACACTGTTTTGAGTTACATCCATAAAAGGATGGTGATTCATTAGGGGAAAATCGGGAAGCTTATGATGCAATTTTGATAATTTAGATTGAACTTTTACAAAATTATTTTTGGATTTCTAGTAATTTTGCTGCAATTCATCACAGATCACTGCTGATGAATATTATTTAGAAATGTGGAATGTTTCCATAGCCCATCAGGGCAAGGGCCCTTAAGTATTTCACTCCCGGCGGTATCCCCAGCACCTAGAACAGTGCCTGGCAAAGCTGTGGGTGTTCACTAGGTGTGGAATGAATGAATAAGTACATTTATGCCATGGTACTCTTTCCAGAGAATTGAGGTCCCACACTATCTTATTAGGTAAGTGCAGACCAGCGTTACCCACGAGGGGCTGCGGCTGCCCTCTCCTCCAGTTTGGCTAACAAAGATCATAATGCTGCATGCGTTTTGTGGTGGTCGGTGGTTGCCAGGGAACTGAAGAAATGAAAGGAGGGTGTTGAAAGCTGTGCCTTGATACCCAGGCCTGCCTGTCTCTTGTTCTGTCTGCTGATTTGTGAGGGTGGTAGCAGGGCATATGTCATAGTCTCTGTGGCCGTGTCTCTTGATAATACGTATTTGCTGAAGAATGGCTCCCTAGTCCCGAAACCCCTGCAGCAGTAGAAGCCACTTCTCTCCACACATGACCCCTCTTCTCTTGTCTGGAGCAATGAGGTTACGATTCAGTCTTTTTTCCTGAGTCTCGAGGAAATGGCTCAGCTTGCTTGGCTCATTCATTTCCTTGTCAGGAAAGTTGTTGTGACCTTGACCATCAGTGGGAGACCTGCAGCAGGCACATCGTGTGTCTGGCTGGACTCACTAATGATTGAAAAGTACTTTTGGCAACATGTCGTGCTGTAAGTGTTGTGTACTGCTAATTTATTGTCCTAGGTGGGGGTGAGCTGCTAATTTGCAAAGAAAGAGTCGTTTCTGATGTACCTGGGTCGTGCCCAGCGCAGTGCCACTCCCGTGGGGGCCTGTGGTGAATAGCCCTGGAGGAAGACTGTTGCAGAAAAGAAAAAGAAAGATGAGATACACATGGTTTGAGTGATGGGAAATATAATTAATTTGCAGCCTAAGAAGTTGTTAGAAAGTAACTTTGGATTTATAAGGTCCCCCAAAAGGAGTCATTTCTGCAAGTCCACATCCAAACATGCACCTTTTGTTCTTTGTACGTGTTGTCTTTGCTAGAGGATCCGGGGCCGGAGAGAGCGGCGGTGACCTGCTGTTCAGGGGAGGGTGGCCAGATGAGAGCTGGCCTACACCACCGACTAGGAAGAGTCAGATCAGGACTCCAACCCCAGGGCCTTTGCTCCTTGCGTAGAGCTTGCTGTTAGCCATTTTCCCCATAAACTGAGCTTAGAGAAGAAAGCATGAGAAACCTAGGGTGGTGAACTTTTCAGAAGCAAGAGTTGGTTTAAATATAGATGATCTGCTTTACTGGCAACTTGGAGGCTGCCGTGGGACTTGCTGTACCATTTGTAAGACAAGTGAGGAAAGAAGTTGGCACCTGTACACGCGCAGTTTGTTTATGAAACATAAACTCTCCTGTAGAAGTGAGGGCTCAAGAGGTCAGCGTCTGAGGTAGCATGTCCTACCTTAGCCAGGGGGAAAGGTGCCTCGCCAAGCCTTCCCTGTCACTTGCCTCAATCTCTAGAGAGAGTCGGGACAGCCAGACCTAATGCATTGTTATTTATTGAGCCCTGACTCTGGCAGGAGCGGTGGCAGAAACCTTTCTGTGAAACTGACAATTACTGGGCTTGATTTTCTTTCCCAAGGAGAAGAAACAATAGCTCAGGAGTCCAGTTCTTATTCAGAGAAATGTAGCTCTTTTCAGCTTGAGACGGACTTATATGCACCTTAGCCGAGAGGAACTGATGGGAGCAGCCCTCCTCTGGCCCCAGGCTCCAGCGCTAGGTGGGTCCAGGGTTGGCCATCGTGGGTTTGCAGCACATCCTTCTCAGTATTCCACAGCAGCTGTCTGGAGTTTTTTCTGCTGTGCCTGAACTGATGTCATTTCCCCCTTGGCAGACAGCTTGGGTTTTGCTGCGTCTGAGATATGTCACGAGAAGGTGGGGGTGGGTCGGAGCCAGGCAGGGGGAGTAGCGAGGACAGCAGGAGGGAGAGCGCCTGCCTGGTCCCAGGACTCTGTTTACTTTCTCTTCTTTGCTAAGGAAGGCCGGTTCACTGGGACCGCGGAGCACGCAGGCCCACCAGGGGAAATGCACAGTCCAAGACCTTAACTTTTAAAAGCCCTTTGTTCCAAACGTTAGTGTGGACGATGCTCTTGCAGGATGCCTTTCCTTTTGGGTCTTAGACAGGTAACTGAACTGGTTATCCGTGGATCGGGTTTGGGCAGGGAAGAAGGGTGGGAGCTGGTTTGTCGGACTGCTGCTTTGGGCGGAGGGAACCTTTGAGAAAATGTCTCGCAGCTAGAGCAGGCCAGCTCCCCTGCAGAAATTTCCAGTCCTCCCTTCTTGTGTGCTAGTTGCTCCTTACTTCCCAAGCCACTGTATTCTTAACCCCCTACATCCCTGAGGTCTCTCTGGGGCCATCCATTCTGATTATCCGTTATATACTGGAAAGCTGTTTCCAAAGCCTTATAGAGGAAACAGCTGAGGGGAGAGGCTGGGGAGGAGGTGAGGCAGAGTGGATTCTTGATCCAAACTGCTTTTATTCCTTCTCCATTTTGATTTGGCTCGTTAGCAGAGATTTCTTCACAGTTTTCTCGTTCTAAAGGGATTCGGAGTGAGGGCAGGGGAATCTTCTAAAGGGAAGGGCTCCCAGAGGCTTTCTCCTTATAGGCATGCGGTCAGGGCTGTGTGGCTGAGGGACATCCTGGATATTTCCGAGGGCTGGGGTGGCATTGGCCACATTTTGGCCCTCTTGACAGACTTTTCAAAGTCAACAGACCCCTGTGGCTGAGTCTTGATTGCTTTGCGAACTGCTGTTTGAAGTAGGGGCACTAAATTATAGCCCGTAACCTAGTGTGGAATGAGAAAACAGTAGCAAGCGACCAACTGCTGTCTGCTGAGAACACAGCTGTTGCCAACTATTTGTTCCAGGGCTTCTGAGGGTTGGCCACCCCCCCCCCCCACCTTTGGTCTGAGAGGCATGTCTGTATCGGAATGTGTAACTGTAACCATTGGCGGCTGTAAGAGGGGGTGGGGACAGACACACACCCTCTACTGCCTGTTCCTGGGTGAGGAAAAGCCACAGATGAGATCAAACTAGAAGCCTTAGTGAGTCGCTGCTAGGGACTGCTGGGTTAGTCTCACTGTCAGAAATGTGCTGGGTGAGCAAATCTCCCTTGGGTTGTCCAAAATTCTTTAAAAAGTAAGTGTCTCCGAAAAGCTCACTCTGCACATATTATCACTTCTCTGTTCAGTGTCCCTTTGGTGCAGCTGATGGAGACGGGGCATTTGACCACCCCCTCTGCCCCCCCAAGAAAGGCTGTCCTTTTAACCTATGGACCATGGTGAGGATTTTGAGCAGCATTGGAAATAGGATGGATGAAGCATCCCATGCATACATGTCAGATGTCAGGGGCAGAAGGGGGAAGCTTCATGATAGGGTAGAAGGAGCAGGACTGGGGAGCCAGAAGGGCCTGTGTCCGTATCCTGGTCTCCCAGGGTCTTAAGCAAGCCGCTTAGCTGCTCTGAACCTCGTCTTTGAAATTGTAATTATAAAACCTACTGGAAGAATTATTGAGAGAGTTTCATAAAAGGATATATTTAAAACATGAGCACCTGGGCCGGCAGAGAGTAGGCATTCAGGAAGAATGTAACCATTATTTTTACGTACGCATCCTGAGGAATGTGAGAGTGGGAGCGCAGGAGTACAGGAAACTAGAAGCCGGAGGACCAGAGATGGAGGGTGTAGTGGGCAGGCCCGCCAGCATGCGCGGACCAAGGGGTGGGAGGCCGTCGCTTACTATACGCATCTGCTGTTAACCTTGGATATTGAGGAGACCAGAAGAGGCGGGCCCGTGTCCCATCACCTGCACTCAGCTGCGTGAGAGGGTGCAGTGGTAGGTCAAGTGAAGGGCTGGGGTGGTGGTCCTGGGGAGCATCTCAGAGGATCAACAGCAGGTGAATCTTCAGCTCTTGTTTCTGAACAGATCTCTGGTAGGAAGGCTGAACTACAAGACCTCTTAAAGACCCTTTCTGTCCTTCTGTGATTCAAACTTCCCTGTAAAAACTTTGACTGTTTTTGATTACATAATTTTGTATATTTCTAGCATTTCTGTGTCTGTCAGTGTAATTACATTCTTTATTGGAGCTGTGGAAAAGCTAGCTTTCTAAAGATTACTTGGTGATAATTCTGTTCTTAAGAAATGACACAGGGGGTACCTGGGTGGCTCAGTCGGTTAGGCATCCAACTTTGGCTCAGGTCATGAGCTCATGGTTTGTGGGTTCGAGCCCTGTGTCAGGCTTTGTGCTGACAGCCGGGAACCTTCTCTGGATTCTGTGTCTCCCTCGCTCTCTGTCTCTCCCCCCCCCCCAAAAATAAAATAAACATAAAAAACCTTTTTTAAATGATGCAATAATGCATGTGCTGTTGGTCTTCATTATATATAATATATATGTACTTTCATACATTTTTTTTTCCCCCTCAATCCATATAACAATGCTGTCTTCTGTGGTAGTGTGATTCTGTTTGTACAGAAGTGCACACTGGGGCTTACAGAAGGTAAGCCATTTGCCCAGAGTTGCTCAGCTAGCTAGGGAAATGGTAATTGAAGTTTTGTTTTTTTTTCTTAAAGTCTGATCTTCTGATTCCAAAGCCTAGAATTTTTCCCACTGCCTAGACTGCTTCGCCCAATGCCTGTGTGAGTAGAGTAGGATTATTACGTTGTTTTAGTTGAGGCATGTTTTCTGAAGGTTGTTTCTAGGAGGCCCAGTTACCAGATAAGACATTGCTCGTGCCTGTTTGCATCTTTCTCTATGGAATCCTTTTCTGCATGTAGCATTTACTGAGTAATGCCGCTGCAAGTAGATTTGAACATTTAATGAATGTGGACCTGACACAAAGGATGCAAAGATAAATAAAGCATAACCCTTACTTCCTAGGAGCTCACAGTCTAATGCAGTGGTTCTCAAAATGCATAAAAATTGCCTGGAAGTGGCGCTTATAATTAGATTTTGTAGGTCTGGGGCCAGCATCCAGAAATATGCATTCCTGTGAAGTTCCCCAGGTGGTTTTGACCCTGCTAGTTTCTGGCAATTTGAGAGGGACCTCACCTCCTCCCCCCACCCCCCACCACCGCCGCTGTAGGTTTAGTAGTATGGAAAGAATCCTATAATGTGCTCAGACTATAACAGGAATGCCCAGGTGCCCAGGACCTAGCATAGCAGAGGGGTGGGAAAGCATCTTATTCAAATGGCTGGGGGAGAGGGCTGTGCATGAAAGGCTTTCCTGAGAAGGTGATATCTGATCTGAGTCTTGAAGGATGAGTAGGAGTCTACCAGACATGTGATCTGAGGAAAGAACATTCCAGACAGATCAGGTTAGGAGTGTCATTTTTGTTTTCTCCTGCAGATGAGAAGAGAAACTGTCATCTTATGAGTCTTAGTATTAAGTATCCCTGAGGCAAGACAAGGACTTTGGCTCACCAACTGTTGGTGTCCTTTGTGACACAGAGAAGGAGGAAAGCATTAGGGCCCTTCAGTCTAATAATGAGTGTGGCACGAATTCAGTGTCTGTAAAGGGCAGGTAAGCTGTAGGCTGTATTAGTTCTTCTATGCAAGGGACAGTTAAGACAGCTTACTGGAAGGTAGTGTTGACTAAAGAGCAGTCTTTTTGTGCTTAGAGGAGCTCAGGTTCAGAAGAGAGTTACCTGTTGAACTTTCTGGGTTTTGACGATGTACCACACAATTGAGCATGTTATCCCTTTATTAACTGGTGAGATCAGCAAATGAGTTTTCTGGTTAAGAGAATCCATCATGTAAACCTAACAGATAGGATTCCTGATTTTCAGAGAATAAGATTGTAACAGAACATTCTTAGTCTGCTGATTTGAATGAATTCTAGTTCATGTTTTATTCAGAAGGCATTGATTTCATAATGTGGGAGGATTCTTATGACCGACATCCTCTATTTGAAAAGGATTGTGCATGTATTCCATTCAAAGCATGTTGTAGATACAGAGAGACACATGCTCTATCCCTGCCCTCAAGAGGCCTACAGTCAGGTAGGGGAAGTGGGTGCACAGGTAATTGGAACATTCAGTGGGTGATGGTGAGTGCCGTTAGAGAGGGATGGGGTGCCACAGGTTCACAGGCGTGGGGGTGACTTTCTGCAGGCAGCCCAATCCAGTAAGTAGTCTCAGTGGTTGTAAGACAATAATTTGTATCTTGTACCACAGAATGTTGCTTTCTTTGTGGGAGGGGCCCACTGTCCTCCAAATTGTCCTCACCAAAGTGAGTTGATCCCTGATACTGGAAATGAGTAGTCTGCAACCACACTGGAGTGCTCTTGTCAGATGTCAGAACATGTCATGGCCAAGAGGCTCCTGGCCCAAGGGGCTGTTTGTATTCTGGAAACGGGGAGCTGGTACCAGAGGCCCTCGATTGGTCTGATGCTGAATGTAACAGGGCAACCTGAATGTCGAAGCCCAGTTACTCCGTGGGCATAATAAGAGATCTTAGGGTCTCACCAGGACAGCACTGAAAATGCCATGGTGTACACCAGCCTAAAGCTGTAGGCTGGGAGCCAGGACTCGGGAGAGGGAGGAGGGAATTGGCCAACTTCTCATTTAACCCCCAAACTGCTGAATATTAGCCAACCTTACGTCACACCTTTGTTACTTCATCATGACAGCCTCCGTGAGGTGGGAGGTCTTAGCTCTTTTCTGTTGTGAGGAAACTGAAACTCAACAGGTTTTATCTATTTAGTATCACACAGCTAATGCGTGGCCATGGTGGCTCCAGCGGCCGGGTCTGAGAGAACAGTGCTGTCCTTGTCTGTGTATTGCTCTGTATGGTACCCGCACCAGTGTCTGCCGGACCTTCTCCCTGTATGCCCTGTGCCCTGCAGAGGACTGAATATTGAGTCCTGGTCACCGTCACCCTCCTGTGTGTGCTTTAGCCTCTCTCTACCAGGTTCAGGACAAATTAAGCAAGACCCTGCTTGGAAAAGAACTGTCTGTATATAATTCAAGAGACACCAAGGTGACACTTGTTGTTTGTACTACCAGAGGTTGAAGCCAAAATCCTTATTGACACTGATGTGTAAAAATCTTGTGACAGCTCCATAAAGCCCTTAGTTCCCCATTGCTGCCTAAAAGTAAGAAAGGGTGAGTCTCATCTCGGCCCTTTCA